GAAGATGGCCATTTTCTCTCATTTTTTTGGAGTTTTTATAAATGCTGTTCCTTTTGTTTGTCTTGCTCTGCATGTTCTAAATGGCATTGCTGGGTAGCCCCAGTGGCGCAGCGGTTTAGCACCGCCTGCAGCCCAGGGTGTGATCCTGGAGACCCTGGATTGAGTCCCACGTCGGGCTCTCTGCATGGAGCCTGCTTCTCCCTCTGTCTGTGTCTCTGCCTCTCTCTCTCTGTCTCTGTGAATAGATAAATAAAATCTTAAAAAAATAAATGGCATTGCTTCTCAAACTTGAGTGTGCTTCAAATTGTCTAGAAGACTTGTTATTGTTAAGCCACAGATCTAGGTCCCACTCCCAGACTATGATTTACCAAAGGGTAGAGTGTGCGGTTCTGTGTTTCTAGTAAGTCTCCAGGTGATGCTGATGTGGGTGGTCTGGGGACTGTACTTTGAGTAGCAAAGCTCTAGAGTATCCTGTCCTACCATAGCACTACTTCACTGTTTTGGGGTTGCCTGTTTGTCTTTCTCCCTCATGAGACCCTAGGATTTCTGGGAAAAAGAATCTGTTTGCCCATTATGTATCCCGAGTCACTAGTTTTGGGGATATTCTTGGTGTTGAGTAAGTGTCTGTTGAATGAATGAATGAATGAATGAATGGATCATTGTTCATGCAGCAAAGTTCAAATCATTTTGCTTCTTGTAGATCAGCTTTCTTTTAGACTATTTCAGCCTAAGGATATATGGAATGTGATCTACCTCTTCCGTATGCCCTCACCTGACCCTGAAATACTCACTTAATAATGGATATGGAACTGGAGAACTCCCCAAAGAGATCAGAGACCATGGATGAACTACAGGAAGATAGGCATGGACTTCTTTTGATAGATCTGAAACTTTAAATGTGAAATAGATTCATAGGTTTTCTTTCATTTAACACAACACAGAGTAGTGTTTCTGCACCTCTTTTTAGTAATAAGACATACACCTGAACTTATCAGAGCCCATCAATAAGTGGGTCTCACACTACTGTTTTAGTATGTGTGATGTAGTAGCTAGGGATTGTATGCTGAATAAAGGAATGCATGATATGGTTCTGGTCCTCTAGGTTGAAACCTGAGTTGATGATAGTCAAGAGCACTTGAAATGTTCAAACTGTGTGATACTTATCAGAAGAATTAATATTTTTTAAGATGCTTAATTACTTGGTTTATTAAATCAATTAAAAGCATGCAGTGAGAAGCCAGGGGAAAGAGACTGGGGTAGGTTAACACATTTAGTGCAAGCCAGTAGAAGGGCCACACTGTATTATGCACAGGTTATATACAATATTCATATGCCCTCTCACTCTTTGTTGCAAGGCCTTTTTGGTTTTGGGGAGCAGGAACTCTATTTGCCAGCTTAAGTCTTGAAAAGGAGATGGGGTTGCAGTTCTGGGAATCTAAGAAACGAGAGACAAGGAGTGGCCCAGTGGTCCTGAGGAGTGGGAATTCTTGGTTGTTCATGTTTGCCTAGTTGCCTTGAGTTTGCTTCAGTATCTGCTTATCTTCTGGCTGCCACAGCCATCCTTACCCCCTTTTCTTTTTAGTACTTGTCTACCTCACAGGTTCTGCTTCTGCTGCTTCTGGCTTCCTTGTGACTTCAGGTGTCACTGAGCCCTCACTTTATATCATAGCCACACTGCATCTGTGCAGGGTCTGATTTCTGGGCTTGATGATCCTTACATTTCTTATCCACACCCCCGGTGTTGAGCATCTAGCTGATGTTTTCCTTGCTAGGGTAGAGCTTTCTATGCAAGAGCACTGCAGAGGCCAGAAACTGTGTGCCCTCCCTTCCTTACTTGGACTCAGTTGGGTGAGACCAGGTGTGAGGTAGGTCTTGTGGTACACATGTGGCTTTCAAGCTCACCTTGGTATTGGAGTTGGGGGGATGGGCATTGCCCTCTGCAGTGGCTGTGGGCCTAGCAGGTACATTGGAGAGCCCTTGGGGGCAGTGGGACTCAAGTAATAGGATTTGAGCCAGCTGGGATCAGAGGAGAGACGGTCTGGAAAGAAGACACAGATGTGATCCATGAAGAGCGAGCATGTGGGCAACCAGAAGCCTGCTAAGAGTGAGCAAAGAGGAGGTTGGATTATAAGGGCCCTAACGGTCATGTGGAGGAAGTAGATGTTTTTATTAGGTGACAGGTCATCTATAGGCTTTTAAGCTCTGCTGTCAGAATAGACTTGAGACCTACTGGGAGGCTGCTGACACCAGTTGGGAGTGAGATAACGTGGGAGAGGAAATAATGAGCAGGTGGTCCTGGGATTGGAGAAAGAACAAACATGGGCTGACATAATAACAGCAACTGAATATGGCAGCTTCAGTTCCAGGCAGAAAGGAGTGTATTCTAGGGGAATAGTAGCTTCTGTGTCAGAACCGGGAATGCAGTAGCCAACACTCAGCACAGAGATTTTTGTGCTTTCATTCGCAGGGTGGTGGTGGGACAGATCTTTTCACCACTGTCTTGCTGGGTTTGTGAACCATCTCTGTCCGCTTGATTTTTCAGTCATAAACATCTGTTCTTGTCCTGCCCATGCCAAGCTTTTTAGATACCTTTACTCCAGCTGTTCCTTTCAGTGCTAACCGGAAGGACAGTGTTCCTGGGAGCTCTACACATAGTTTGGCCAGGAATCTATTCCATCGCATACTGATGCCTTCTACCCTGGGTTTTGCCTCTGCAACCTGGTCAGACATCTGGGCTTGTTCAGAAAGTGCTAGTGTGAAGCATTTAAATTTGGCTCTGGAATTTGGTGAGAGTGTTTTGGAAAGTTGTGTGATCCATCAGGTGCTTAGACTGACTTGTGGCCTTGCTTTTTTATATTGTTTATTATCAGAATGATAGGAGTTCCATAAAACAACTCAGATACAACTCAATTTTTAAAATTAATGTATTTTTAAAAATTGAGATAAATTGACATAATATATTTTAGGTGTACAACATAATTATTTGATTAGATGTATGTAATGCAAAATGATTACTAAGTCTAGTTACTATCCATCATCATACAGAGTTACAGACTTTTCTTGCGATGACAACTTTTCAGATTTACTCTCTTAGCAACTTTTAAACACATATAACATAGTACTGTTAACTATAGTCACCATGCTGTACATTACATCCCTAGGACTTATTTATCTTATAACCAGAAGTTTGTACCTTTTGACCACCCTTACCCATTTTGCTCACCCACAGCCTCTGACAGCCACCAATCTGTTCTCCGTATCTGTGAGTTTGACTTTCTTGGTTCCACATCTAAATGATATCATTTGGTATTTGTCTTTCTATGTCAGACTTTTTTCACTTAGCATCATGTTTTCAAGGTCCCAGATGTAATTCAATTTACAAAGGCCTGATATGGAGTAGGCTGACTTTGAGCAACATAAGACAGAGGGGGTAATTACTTGCTAACTGCAATAATGCTGATTGTGTATTATAATGAAGGATGTGAACTCATCTCTTAAGTTCTATGAGCCTTTACTTCTTCATCTGTGAAAAGGATACTACTACCTGCTATGTCTACTTTTCAAAGGTTTTGAGACGCTCAAGATGAAATAGGTGTGTGTAGTGTTTTATAAATTTGAAAGCACTCTATGAATTTAAGATATTAACTAATGATTAGTAGCTTCTGGGGCATTTAAGAATGGTTTGATCTACATTTAGTGGAAACTCACCTAGTATGAAAACTTTAGAGATAACATCTCAAGGCTATATCACAGTTCAATATTTTATAGTCTTATTTCATCTCTGAAAGTTCACAGAGGAGAGGAGAGCTGGGTGTTCCTGAGAAGAATTACCTCCTGGAATGGGGTGTGTGTTGGGGTGGAGGAAGGGTGCAGAGATGGTCAGTTGTCTTTTCTAGCGATAGTGAGTAGAATGTTCTCCTAATGATGAATTTCTTGATAGTATGTGCAGAAGCAGGCAACTTGACGGCTTATTAGCAGTAATATTTCTCTCTTTCTTTCCTAGCCCCCTTTTGTCCTAAAGGCTCACGCTCCTTCTATTCACCTCTAGGTTCCCTTGGCAAGTAGCACCTTAGCCTTAGGGTAGATGGGAGGGATAGAACAAAGCTCTAGGCTTCTCCTTGCAGAATCACCAGTTTTGCTTCTTTCCTCACTGCCTTGTACAGTCTTGTTTTCTCCTCAACTACTTTTCTGGTTCTCTGTATCCTTAAATCCTCACATTTGCCTTGCATGCCCCCTAGTGGCAGGTCTGATGCACCCCTCGTTTTGTTACCCTGTTTGTTGTGGTACCATGAGCAGTTGTTCTTTCCACCCAGTTCTATTACCAGGTATTATCCACAAATGCGGAATGAGAGGTTCTGTGATCCTGACTTGCCATTCGAGTAGGACCTGGGCAGGTGGAATTGGAACTTTCAATTCCCAGATTTATACAGTGAGAATGAATGCCTCAGAAAAAGATGATGTGGCTATAGCTGTTGTAGATTTTAAAAAATAGAAAGAAATCTAGATTATTTTGCTATCTACTCAGCTAACCTGAAGGATAAAAATGTGAATATTTGAAGGAAAGAATGATTGTCCTTTTGGGGTGCCTGGGTGGCTCAGTCGGTTGCGTTCAATTCTCAGGTCATGATCTCAGGCTTGTGAGATCGAGTCCTGAGTCAGGCTCTGCACTGGGTGTGGAGCCTGCTTAAGGTTTTCTTGCTCCCTCTCCCTCTGTGCCCCTCCCCTCACTTATACTCTCTCTCTCTCTCAAAAATAAAATGTTTAAAAAGAATGATCATCCTTTTTACTCTTCATGCTCAGTCCTATTAACAACTTTGAGGTATACAAAAAAATTATAAAGCATGATGTCTGCCCTGCAAGAAGTTTATGTTCTAATGATGTTCTAGTTACAAGGTGTTTAAATATATTCTCTTGAGGAAAAAAATAAGTATAATGTATGATAGCTTTTACTGATGTTTAATATTTCTACTTCTGAGCCTTTGCTTTTTTTATTTTGAAAGTCCTTTTCCGTGGAGAGAGAACCGCATGACAACAGCAGTAATTACCCAGATGAACCCTGGAGGATAACAGAAGAACAGCGCGAGTACTATGTCAATCAGTTCCGATCCCTTCAACCTGACCCAAGTTCCTTCATTTCAGGTAACTAAGTCTGATGGATGAAGACATGGGTCCCAGATCATTGTCTCACACAGATAACAGTACATATCTTAAGAAATAGTTCACGCAAAATGAATATGACAACATTCTGTGATTTTGATTTGTTTTCCTCTGAGATTGAAGTTCTTATCAACTATATACCATGCAGAAAAATGCTTGGCAATGACATTTAGAAAATTATGTTTCAGTTTTAAAGGTTTAAAATGGGAATTTGGGGGAACCTGGTCTAGATCTGTGCTTTTTTTAGCTGGAACAGTTCTTGAAATGGTAGACTATGGCAGGAAGATGATCTCTTTAATTGCTTATTCATATTAGAGCAAAGATGTAGTGTAACCTTCTAAAGATTTAGCGTCACAAGTCTCTTTATATTATGTATGCTTTCCAAGTCCAAATTCATGCTTGTTTTCTTTGGCTCAAGTCTTTCTCCTCTGGATTTTCTGAGAGAAATTAAAATATGGGAGGAAAATTGGCCAGCAGTTTTATATCCACATGTCTGTTCTTCGGGTTGTCTTCAAAAATATGTATTCCTATTGAGTTCTCATGTAAAATTCAAACTGAGACAAATTGATTTAATTCCTGTGTGCCTACATTTTCCTGGGCTGAAGACTAAACAGTAAATTGTAGAGTCTGGAAGAAAAATTCATAAAACTTTCTTTTTGTATTTCAATTTTGAAGAATAACAATATGCCCTCAATAATTGTAACCTGACATATTGAATGTGGACTAATTTTCTCTGGAGAAATATGGTGTGTAATTGAAATATACTTGTATAAATTCAGACATCATTTTCTAATTGGTGGTAATAGCTTTATTGAAAGCAGAATATTGTAGATACAACAAATTAATGTTGACAACAGGACTTAAAAAAAAAAGCAGAAACCCAGAATGACCATTTGCTAACCTTACCCACTGCTTAAATGAGTTTCCTTTTTTATTTTGTTTAAAAAGGATTTTATTTATTTGAGAGAGAGCACATGAGAGAGAACATGAGTGTGGGGAGGCAGAGGGAGAGGGAGAAGCAGGCTCCCTGCTCAGCTCCCAGGACCCTGGGATCATGACCAGAGCCAAAGGCAGGCACTTAACTGACTTGAGTCACCCAGGTGCCCCTTAAGTGAGTTTCTTCACAGTATATGCGTATAATTAGACAAATACAAATGGGTAGCTGTTAGGAGTGGCTTTATTTTAACTTTTTTATTTTACAGAATTTCTAGATACAACTACAGTGCCTAGTATAATGAACCCTGTGCACCTATTACACAGCACCTGTGATTTTATTTTTGTTTGTAACCTCTCTCAGCCCAGATGATTTTGAAGCAGTTAATCAGATATTTCATTGGAAAATATTTCAGGTTGTATCTTGATTGATAAGAAAAACCTCTTTTAAAAACATAACCACAATTCATTGGCACACGTGAAAGCAATACAAAACATGTTTCCTTAATATCATCAATTCTTTGTTGTTGAGATTTCCCTGATTGTCTCACAAATGCCTATTAAAAACAGTTCAGTCGGCTTAACGTCAAGAGGGGTTCATATATTTGCAATTAGGTGATATCTCTTTAAAAAACATCTTTTTTTGGAATATTAATATACCATAAAATACACCTCTGTAAAGTATACAGTTCAGTGGTTTTAGTGTATTTACAGAGTATATTTACAATCTGAATTTAGAACACTTTCAGTACCCTTTAAAAAACCACCTATTATTAGCAATTATTCCCTGTTTCTGCTCTTTCTGTCTCCCAGCCCTACATAATGACTAAACCACTTTTTCTCTCTAAAAGTTCACCTATTTTGGGCTTTTCTTACAAGTGAAATCATATAACATGTGGTCTTTTTTGTGTCTGACTTCTTTCACTTAGCATAATATTTTTAAAGTTTATCCAGGTTGTACTGTGCACTAGATGCTCATTGCTTTTTATGGTTGAATAATTTCCATTGTATGGATATGCTATGTTTTATTTATTCATCAATTGATGGGCACTTGATTTGGGTTGTTTCTACTTTTTGGCTATTAAGAATAATGCTGCTATGAACATTTGTGAGCACATTTTTGTATGGATGTATGTTTTTATTTCTCTTAAATATATACCTAGGAGAGGAATTGCTGAATCATATGGTAACTCTGTTCAGTCATTTGAAACAGACTGTTTTTGCACGGTGGCTGCATTATTTTTCATTGCTACCAACAACATATGAGGGTTCCAGTTACTCCACATCCTTGCCAACGCTTATTATCTGTCTTTTGCTTATAGCTGTCCTAGTGATGCCAGATGGGCCAGGGTCCCGAGAGGAAGGCCCTCAGGCCCCTTGCTTTGAGCGTTCTTGGCTTTGTGTGAGAAAGAATTCAAGAGCCAGCCGTTTAAAGAAAGGGACAAAAATTTAGTATGTATAGCAGTGAGAAAGGAGCTACTTCACAGACAAAATAGTGGTCTTCTCCCAGGTGAGGAAGAGGACCCTTCTTAGCCTCTAAGAAAGGGTTTTATAAGTCTTAAAAATTAGCTAACCTTAGGGAGAGGCTTACTCCTTAACTTTGAGTTTATCGTTTACATTGGGTGGTTAGTTTTTCCATTGTTTTAGGATTGTGAAATTACCCACAGGGAGCAATTTTAAGAATGTCTGGCCTTTGTGGCTTTTACTGCCAGAGGGAGTGGGGTCTTGTGGTCTTCCATGAGTCGTCTTGTGACTCTTTCTATTACCTACTGACTTTTAGGTTAAAGGTCAGTCTAAAACCGGAATGGTTTTACTTTGGTCAGCTTGTCTCCTGAGTCTCCCTTCCTACTTCACTAGTGGGTGTGAAGTAGTATCTCTTTGTGGTTATGATTAGCATTTTCCAGATGAAAAATGAAATTCAACATCTTTTCATGTTCTTATTGACCATTTGTATATCTTCTTTGGAGAAATGTCTATTCAGATCTTTTGCTATTTTAAATAAATACTGAATGGTAAGAGTTCCTTATATACAGGCATACCTTGGAGATATTGAAGGTTTGGTTCAGATGACTGCAATAAAGTGGATATTGCAATAAAGCAAGTCAAATGAATTTTTTTATTTCCCAGTATAAGTTATATTTACACTATCCTGTATCTGTTAAGCGTGCAATAGTATTATATCTTAAAATGCTGTACATATTTTAATTAAAAATAATTTATTACTAAAATATACTAATTTTCATGTGAGCTTTCAGTAAGTTGTAATCACTGATCATAGATTACCATAACAAATACAATAAAAATGAAAAAGTTTGAAATATTGCAAGAATTATCAAAATGTGATACAGAGACACAAAGTGAGCAAATGCTTTTGGAAAAATGGTACTAATAAACTTGCTCAACACAGAGATGCCACAAACCTTCAATTTGTAAAAAATGCAATATTTGCCAACTGCAGTAAAGTGAAGTATAATAAAACGAGGTATGCCTGTATTCTAGATACATGTCCCTTAGCACATACTTGATTTGGAAATATTTTTTCCCAATTGGTGGCTTGTTTTTTTATTTTCCTAACGGTGTCTTTGGAGTACATAAGTTTTTAGTTTTGATTGCGCTTTTTGGTGCTATAAGAGATCATTGCCGAATCCAAGGTCATGAAAATTTGTGTCAGTATTTTCCTCTAAGAAGGTATCTATATTACAGTTTTATCTCTTATATTTAGGTCTTTGATCCATTTTGAGTTAATTTTTGTGTACGATATCAGTAGGTGTTCAAATTCTTTCGCATGTGAATATCCAGTTGTCCCAGCACCACTGATCTTGGGGTTGTGAGTTGGAGTCCCACGTTTGGGGTAGAGTTTATTTTAAAAAAAAGGGGGGGCAATTTCATCTATTTCTGTGAACTGTCACAACTCTACCCATTTTTATTTATTTACATTTATTATTTTTTAAATTAATTTTTAAAAAAGATTTTATTTATTCATGAGAGAGAGAGAGACAGAGAGAGAGAGAGGGGGAGAGAGAGAGGGGCAGAGGGAGAAGCAGGCTTTGTGCAGGGAGCCTGACGTGGGACTCGATCCGGAGTCTCCAGGATCACATCCCGGGTTGAAGGCGGCGCTAAACCGCCGGGCCACCGGGGCTGCCCTTTTTTATTTTATTTTTAAAAGATTTTATTTATTTATTTATGAGACACACACACACACACACACACACACATAGAGAGAGGCACAGACACAGGCAGAAGCAGGCTCGATGCAGGGAGCCAGACATGGGATTCGATCCTGGGTCTCCAGGATCACAGCCTGGGCCGAGGGCGGTGCTAAACTGCTGAGCCACCTGGGCTGACCTTCTACCCATTTTTATATGGTGTTACCAGTCTTTATTTTTATTTATTTTATTTTTATTTTATTTTTTTTATTTATTTACGATAGTCATACAGAGAGAGAGAAAGGCAGAGACACAGGCAGAGGGAGAAGCAGGCTCCATGCACCGGGAGCCCGACGTGGGATTCGATCCAGGGTCTCCAGGATTGCACCCTGGGCCAAAGGCAGGCGCCAAACCGCTGCGCCACCCAGGGATCCCACCAGTCTTTATTTTTAAAAGATCTATATCTATTCAATGTGTTAACATTTATCACTAATATATCAATGCTTACGTATAGCTGTTTTTTATTGGGCTGAGAGACTCCTTGTAATAAAAAGTCTGAATCCACATTTTGATGTTTGATTGCTGACAGCTTTTTAATTTTTTTTTTTTTTTTTTTTATTTATGATAGTCACACAGAGAGAGAGAGAGAGGCAGAGACACAGGCAGAGGGAGAAGCAGGCTCCATGCACCGGGAGCCTGACGTGGGATTCGATCCCGGGTCTCCAGGATCGCGCCCTGGGCCAAAGGCAGGCGCCAAACCGCTGCGCCACCCAGGGATCCCCTGACAGCTTTTTAAAGCCTCACCTTTCCCTCATTTGCCACATGTGAAGCTTCCCAGCAGGTCTGAAAAGCTGAAGAGAGCAAGGAAAGGAAACTGGCTTGGGATCTCTAGGTTGGCTGAGATTAGGGCTGGGTTGAGGGTTCCAGCTAGCTCACTGGTTAAATGACTTGTCAGCACCAAAGGAGGGAGGGCTTTCTCATCAGCTTCTTTCTCTGGAAGGCGGCAGCCAGGGCATGACTGAACTTGTTAGTTGTTGGCTTCCGGATGGGCCCTACCTAATCTCCTATGGACACCATGGCAAAACAATCTCTCTACTGTCTGAAGGCCAGTCCGAGTCTCTGGCTTGGGTTTGGGCCTAGTGTGATTTGAAGAAAGGATATCAAGGGGGAAAAGAAGAATGAGTTGAGGGGAGAATGTCTTTATATCTATAAAATAGTTGGTAAATAGGCTTTTAAGACATTTCTGATAAATGTTTGACAAGGTGTCTGCCCCGATGGCCAACAGTCCTATGACAGCAATATTTCCAGGACGCTTTTGGGGAGAAAGCTCATTGGTTAATAGGGCACTTTGCCTTTGATCCTTAATAATCTATCAAAGGAAAATACATCTGCTTTAGGGTCCACTATAATTCCTTGTCTTAAGGCCAGTTAGAATACTTGTGATTGCCAAGGAAAGACTTTTGACTTTATCAGTTTAGAGCTTGAGGCTTTTTTTTAAATTTTTATTTATTTATGATAGTCACACACGAGAGAGAGAGAGAGAGAGAGAGAGAGAGAGAGAGGCAGAGACACAGGCAGAGGGAGAAGCAGGCTCCATGCACTGGGAGCCCGACGTGGGACTCGATCCTGGGTCTCCAGCATCGCTCCCTGGGCCAAAGGCAGGGGCTAAACCGCTGCGCCACCCAGGGATCCCAGAGCTTGAGGCTTTGATTTGACCGTTCTTTGTGTTAGAATTGAGGCCTTTGAAGTTTGAAACTGGCCTGAGAGCTGAAGCCATAAATATTTAAGTCTGAATAAGGATCAGTCTAACATTTTAAGTACAGTTGGGACTTCGAGTATATAACGTGTAAAATGGAATGATTACCTGATTTCGATTGATATTGGTAAATTTGTGGTGAATAAAGAAAGTAGCAAGAGGTTCCTGGATAAATTTCTTAAAGAGCCACCAAGAGATCTTAAATTTCACCAAACTCTTTACAAAGATATCTGTTTTGTCTCTGTGTGATAAGATTAATAGTATTAATTTTCTTGTTTTTGCTCTGTTTTTCTACCATGACTATATTTTACTTTCTCACCCTCTCATTAAAAGTGCTTGACAAGGGGCACCTGGGTGGCTCAGTCGGTTAAGTGTCTGCCTTTGGCTCAGGTCATGATCTTAGGGTCCTGAGAGCCTTGCATTGGGCCCCTTACTTAGCAGGGAGCCTACTTCTCCCTCTCCCTCTGCCTGCTGCTTCCCCTGCTTGTGGTTTCTCTATGTCAAATAAACAAAATCTTTAAAAAAAAAGTGCTTGGCAGATTTTTACTTTAATAATTTTGAAATTTGTCTTTTAGTAAACTTTTGCAGATTTTTGGAAAAATGAAGGAATTAATTTATATGATTCATATATCATAAGTGTTATGTCATTACTTCTTTTGCCCTGTTGTAATTTATATATTCTTGTAAGAACTATTCATATGTTGATTTTAACCATATGATTTATAGTTGCTTTGATGAATAAATGTTATGTTTGTTGTTATATGGTAGGGATTCTGAATGAAAAAATGACAATTCACTTATATATATAAAAGCTGCTGTAGATAAGTAGTTAATGATTTATTTAAACAATGGCTCTCTTGGCAGGTTCTGTAGCCAAGAATTTTTTCACCAAATCAAAGCTTTCCATTCCAGAACTCTCCTACATATGGTAAGTATAATTAATGCCATATAGTATCATATTGTCATTACATACCCATCCCTTAGACTTACATTTTGAAAGTCTTATCTTTTGAAATTAAAAAATATGTATTTATTTTAGAGAGCATGAATGGGGGAAGGGGCAGAGGGAGAGGGAAATATCTCAAGCAGGCTCTCTGCTGAGCACAGATTCCCAGGCAGGGCTCGATCCCACAATCCTGAGATCATGACCTGAGCTAAAATCAAGAGTTGGACACTTAACTGACTGAGTCACTCAGACATGCCTTGAAATTTTTTTTTAACAGACTAAGAGAGTGACTAGAACTTAACATTTTCGTTGCTCTGAAGATTAAATAAGTTATTACATGAAAAGCACAGTGCTCAGTGTCTGGTGCATACTATGCACTGTAACTGTTAGCTGTTATTTAAAAATTAATTTCCCAATTATTATCCTCCTCTAGATCCCTTTCCTGTCTAAACAATTGTGGGGGCATATGAGCATTTCCATCTTGTGAATTTTATTTTCAGATATTTCTACTTGATATAATGCAGGTAACCAGAGAATCTTGAAAAGCTCTTTAAATATTTTATGAGGCCAGGTGAATAGAAGGTCCACAAATGTTTTGGAATTAAGTCAAATTTGACTATTTTAGCTGCCTCTGAGCTTCCTAAATTTGGCTGGTGTTTATGAGCTGGGCCTTAGTTGAAACTTGCAGCTGTGGTGCGTACCACGTCTTGCTATTGTGCCAGCTGCAGCCCAGGCTCCAGAAGGGCTGTACCAGGATGGTCCAGGTGGCTGATATACAGTTATGAGAACACTTGGTGCCTCTGTAAACTCCTGACTGTGTGTGGGCTCTCCTCCCCAAGTCTTGGGTGGGAGACCACGCTGCTGTAAATATATAATTAAAATATTGGAATATTTATTTAAGACTTTTTTCATGAGGATTTACAAAAATTGTGGTAGGATTTAACATTGCTTGTCATGTTTTGTGCATTTTATTGGAAAACTATTCCAGTAACACTTGTGCATGCCAGTGTATCTAGGATTCTGAGCTGGGTTTAGGTTCTTCAGCAATATATTCTAGGATAGTTTTTTTTTTCTACAACAAGCTTTGTATTAGATTTTAAACCTAGGGAAAAAAAGAAACTATTATTTTGAGAAGAATACACTCTGGGCAGAATTCTCAGTCTTAACATTATTGGCACGAGGCTTCCTATCTTTACGTTGAGACATATCCATGAAAGCTGAATGATACTCTCTTCACCCAGCGTTTGAAACAGTTCCCTGACTCCTCACCCTGGGGAGCTAGTTGCTCCTACAGGGCTGGTGCATTTTAAATATTTGATGGGAAGAAATGTGAATGGTGACTGGGTGGCGGGCACTGAGGGGGGCACTTGACGGGATGAGCACTGGGTGTTACTCTGTATGTTGGCAAATTGAACACCAATAAAAAATAAATTTATTATTAAAAAATAAATATTTGATGGGAAGAAATGTGAATGGTCCAAAGGAAAGTTAGGGAGCTTACCTTCTATATTTCTTCTTTGAAATAGTGATACCTTTCTAGCACAATTTTATGTCCTATGTCTTTATTTGTCCCAGCACAAGTATATTGTCTCTATACACCTAAGAGACTGCTTGAGCTTATGGTGTCTTAGTTACTTTGGCAAATAGGTTTCTTTTGTGCTGAGTAAATAGGTCTGTGCCTTTCAGTGGGAAACATTGACTGAAGCAAAGATAGGCCTTTTCAAGACTCTTCCTTTCTTCCTTTCTGTCTTATCTGGTTCCAGCCTTCCCAAGTTGCTAGTTTTATCCGAAAACATAATTCAGCCAGTATTTATTGAACTTACTTGTATTTTCCCAGGAGGGAATTCTCAAGGAAATTTTTGATAGAACATTTATGTGACTTAAAAAGTTCAAGATTCTTCCTTAAAGCTGAAAAATGAAGTACTAATTTCTGAGTTTGGATAACTATTATGCCTGGGACAAGTGTAAAAAGAATGAGACCCGCCCTTCCTCTGACTATTGTGAGCACCATTTCTGGAGCTTTCTATACCACCCATTTACCGAATGACTGTCAACTAACTGGAATTCTGAACCTTATTTTCCTTTTTGTGCTATAGTTTCTTGTCTTGTGTACTCAGTGTTATGAAACAGACCTGCCAGAGAACCTGAAGAATGTAAAGTTTTGTTTACAAAGTGCTACTGGTACTAGCACTGTTGATCAACATTTGTCCTCTTAAGTGCCCCCCTGAGATTTCATAGGCATTTGGAGACTTTGCAGGGCCACCACCAGAGAGCCTGGGAGTTGTATTTGCATATTTTTTTTAAAAAAATATTTATTTATTTGAGGGGTGAGGTGAGAGAGAGAGGCACATGCACAGGAGCAAGGTGGGAGAGGGGAGAGGGAGAGGAAGAGAAAGAATCTTAAGCAGACTCCATGCTAAGCATGGAACCTGACATGGGTCCCTATCTCACGACCTTGAGATCACTACCTGAGCTGAAACCAAGAGTGGGATGCTTAATGGACTGTGCCACTCAGGTGCCCCCGTGTTTGCATATTTGAGGCTGAGTAACTTTTCCAAGCCCCATGTTAGGTGCTTGTGACATGTTATATTTAGGGAACTTAGTGATGCTGACTGCGATGGAGCCCTGACCCTGCCTGAATTCTGTGCTGCGTTTCATCTCATTGTGGCTCGGAAAAACGGCTACCCACTGCCTGAAGGCCTGCCTCCGACTCTGCAGCCAGAGTACCTGCAAGCAGGTAAGGCCTCATCAAAGTCCTAAACCTTTGACATTTTCCATTCAGGCCTTATAAGAACTTTTTGTGCACTGAGGTGGTATCCACGTACTTTGTGGAGTCCTTTGTATTTAAAGTATTTTAACTGATATTAGACTCACATCTTATAATATGAATAATAGGAGTGATGTGGGTAAGTATGAGTCATCTGTTATTTCCATTCTGTTGTTCTCTGGATGGATTTGAAACAGTCACTTACCCTTTCCTAAAAATTGTGGAGTAGGCAAGTACTGAACCTCCTAGCTGATATAGAATGAAGAGGAAGATCTCCTGTGGAGCCAGTGCTGACTTGGTGTCTTTAGTACATCCTAGTGTCCCCAGATGGCCTGGGGCAATGGAATAGAATGGAACTCTTATACCTAATGAGGAAGTTAAAATAATTACATGTCATGAAATGTGCTGTGATCTTAATGTACCCTTGATAAATTTTTACATCCGTATACATCTACGTAACTGTAATCAGATAATGATATAGAACATTCTGGCACACCACAAGGTTGGAATAGAACTCTTTGTCTTTCTCCTTGTAATAAAGCTATTACCCCCAAACCCTTTCAATAAGAAAGAGTCATGGTATCTAACATTTGTATCAGTTCTTTTGGAAGACTGGAAATCTCTTCCCCTTTTCTTTTTTCTTCTTGCCCTTTTCATAGGCAGTGGGCACTGATACGATTTCTATTACTTAGAGAAGTATAACTTCCATTGACAGCTAGTGCTGTCAACCTTCCTAACTTTTTAGGGAAGGTCTCTTAAAAGCATGAGAACTAGTCATGGATGATTATTGGCAAGAAGGAGCAATGTCTAAAGAAACTGAATAGTTGTTAACAGAGTACGAATTTTGTGGTTAGATCCGGAAAGGGCCCTAGTTTATCTTACCTTATCCCCTCATAACAACATTAGATTCAAAGTGGCCAGTGACTTATCTAGGTCAGTCTTGGGGTCTCTGACTCTTAAATAAAAAGTCTATAATTTTCTGTATTTGGTAGTCAGCAGGCCAAAGCTCAACCAAAGGGAAGAGACCAAGTATGTGGCCGGGGCCAGTGGTAGGTAAACATGTTGGGGGAAGAGTGACCCATTCTGAGATCTTCCCCAAATGCCTCCATAGAAAGTATGAAGGGGGTGGGGGGTGTTCAGAGAGTAGAGGCTCCTCCTTATTTCAGAGCTTAGACTTTGCTAATAGCAGCTGCTTTCTGACTGCAGCAGGATGTAACTTCAGCCTGCTATACCCTTCCTTCCAGGCTGGGGGACCCTCATAGGTCCCCAGGCACCAGTTTGCAGTTGGGCAGCATGACAAAGTGCTCTATTTCCACTTTCATCTCTATCTCTCCATTTTTAAAAAAGATTTTATTTATTTATTCATGAGAGACACAGAGAGAGAGGCAAAGACACAGGCAGAGGGAGAAGCAGGCTCCATGCAGGGAGCCCAATGTGGGACTCGATCCCAGGACTCCAGGATCACTCCCTGGGCCGAAGGCAGGCGCTAAACCTCTGAGCCACCCAGGCATCCCCTCTCCATCTTTTTTTCTCTTTTTTCCTGTTTCTCCTGGATTGAGGCAAAGAAGTGCTAACATTCTTGGGGCTTTCTTGACAAGGGCAGAGCTTTCATAACTAAGCCAGTATCAGATCATCCAGGAGCCCATTCTCCTGGAAGCAGGGCCACATGGGGGCTTTGTCTCTCTCTAATGGGGATGAACAGCTGACCAGAGGACCAAGGTCTGGTCCAGGGCTATTTAGTTATATTTAATATTATCACTGTTTGCTTTTGTGAGCCCTGGGGCGAGTCCTGGGTCAGCTTATCTCCCATGCCCACACTTAGTTTTCTGTTTTTCAGTCTTGATTAATGGTGTTACATTGTTCTGATGCCCTATGGCCATGGAACCTATGCTGGATGTCATGACACCTTGTTTGAGAAGTCACTTTGTAGGTATCCAGGTATTTCATGGATTGTTTGAAAAGCCACTGGTAAAATTTTTAAAAATCTGAAAGCCTTGTGTAAGAAGTGTGTAAACAGGGATCCCTGGGTGGCGCAGCGGTTTAGCGCCTGCCTTTGGCCCAGGGCGTGATCCTGGAGACGCAGGATCGAATCCCACGTCGGGCTCCCGGTGCATGGAGCCTGCTTCTCCCTCTGCCTGTGTCTCTGCCTCTCTCTCTCATTCTGTGTGACTATCATAAATAAATAAAAATTTAAAAAAAGAAGTGTGTAAACAGAAGACAAGTAGCCTCTTTTGATTCCTTTACTGCTACAAATGGCTGCTTTTGCCTTGATAATGCAGTAAGGGCAAGTCTGTAAAACAGAGTGCCAGTTAAGAGGCATCTTTCTTTCCTTTGGAAGAAGTCCCTTGTTTGTTCCTGATCTTTTGTGGAGGCTGTTAGCATGTATTTATACCAAAACAACTGAAGAATCCATCATATACCCTTTATTTATTTTTTAAATATTTTATTTATTTATTCATGAGAGACACAGAGAGAGAGAGAGAGAGGCAGAGACACAGGCAGAGGGAGAAGCAGGCTCCATGCAGTGAGCCTGACGTGGGACTCAATCCTGGGTCTCCAGGATCATGCCCTGGGCTGAAGGCAGCACTAAACCGCTGAGCCACCTGGGCTGCCCTCATATACCCTTTAATTAAACAGAAACTGTACATCATTTCCAGAGCTTGTGGGATTAATCTTAAATAATAATTATATAGTTCTAATGAAAAATGAGAAATCTCATAAAACCCCATCAAACTCAGTGATGGCATATTTTAGGCAAACCCTGGAGGTTGAACAGTTAACTTTTTTTTTTTTTACTTTATTTATGACAGGCACACAGTGAGAGAGAGAGAGGCAGAGACACAGGCAGAGGGAGAAGCAGGCTCCATGCACCGGGAGCCCGATGTGGGATTCGATCCCGGGTCTCCAGGATCGCGCCCCGGGCCAAAGGCAGGCACCAAACCGCTGCACCACCCAGGGATCCCAACAGTTAACTTTTTAATGCTTTATCACACATGTTTATTTTTTAAAAGAAATTTTTATTTATTTATTCACGAGAGACACACAGAGAAGCAGAGACACAGGCAGAGGGAGAAGCAGGCTCCATGCAGGGAGCCTGACGTGGGACTCGATCCCGGGTCTCTAGGATCATGCCCTGGACTGAAAGTGGCGTTAAACCACTGAGCCACCGGGCTGCCCATGCATGTTTATTTTTGTATATAGCTCAAGAAAATGGCTAGAATTAGAAACGACAAATACCCACCATTTGCTTCGACGTGGATGGAACTGGAGGGTATTATGCTGAGTGAAATAAGTCAATCGGAGAAGGACAAACATTATATGGTCTCATTCATTTGGGGAATATAAAAAATAGTGAAAGGGAATAAAGGGGAAAGGAGAAAAAAATGAGTGGAAATATCAGAAAGGGAGACAGAACATGAAAGACTCCTAACTCTGGGAAACGAACTAGGGGTGGGGGAAAGGGAGGTGGGGGCGGGGGGTGGGGGTGACTGGGTGACGGGCACTGAGGTGGGCACTTGACGGGATGAGCACTGGGTGTTATTCTATATGTTGGCAAATTGAACACCAATAAAAAATAAATTTATAAAAAAAAAAGAAAATGGCCAGAACTGTCTAGGTTTTCTCTGTGACTTTTAGACTTTGCAAAATATGAGTGATTCTGTTCATTTTGGGGGTTCATTTTTATGGTATCCCACTTGATTTTCTTAAAAGCTTAGCTTCTTGTTGCAACTTTTTTTCTGATTTACATTCAGTGTTTAAAAAAAATCTAATCCAGTTTTCAATGAGATTGGTGAAGAGTATAAATTCAGTTGATATTATTATGCATTTGCAATTATACAAGCTTGTTTTCAATAAAATAACAAAACAGATGGTTGTATCTGATTTTCCCCCTAACAGTGAAAATAAGAGGATATAGTTGGGAGGAAAAGTTGGATTATTTGGTAGCTTAATCATGGGCCTCTGATATTTTCTTGCCTAGGTGACTGAGTAGATTCTGGTATAGATTTTTACTGTAGAATTTGTTAAAAATAATTTGTGAGCACTGTGTTATTCTCTGTGGTCAGAATGCTGTATAGAAGAGCATTCCTACCATCATGGAACTTGCTGGCAGTTAGAGGATGGATGTTAAATAAACTCATGTACTTTTTTTTTTTTTTTTACTTATGATAGTCACAGAGAGAGAGAGAGAGAGAGAGAGAGGCAGAGACACAGGCGGAGGGAGAAGCAGGCTCCATGCACCGGGAGCCTGACGTGGGATTCGATCCCGGGTCTCCAGGATCACGCCCTGGGCCAAAGGCAGGCGCCAAACCGCTGCGCCACCCAGGGATCCCAACTCTTGTACTTGTAATTGGAGGTGGTGATAGGTGCCGTGGAGGAGAAGCACAACTGCAGCAAGTGTGTGCATGACCTTGGGGAAGGCCTTCTTAAGTATTTGAGCTGAAATATGAAGGATAAGCTAAGGGCTATGTAGGTGAAGAAGGAGGAAGAGTAGGCTCTGGGCAGAGAGGGCAGCAGGTATGCTGCAGAGGCCCTAGGAGGGGACTTGGAGTATGGGAGGCATGGAAAGTGCAGGCCACAGTGGCTAGAGTATTAGAGACTAGAGCTGGAGGGGCTGGGGATGAAGCTGAAGAGGAAGGTAGGGAACAAATCATGGGCCATGCCATTGATTAGTTTTAAGCAGGGAAGTGCCACAGTCAGATTTGCTGTTGGAAATAATTATGCTGGTTGCTGATTGGAGAGCAGGTTTTGAGGAGCAAGGGTGCAAACTGGAAGACCAGGTAATGGCAGCAGTCCAGTCAGAACCACAGGAGGCTGGCTCTAGAGAGAGGACAGTGGAGTTGGAGAGATGGGGCCAGTCGAGAGAGAGATTTAGGAGTTAATGACAGCACTTGTCAATTTGGAAAGTGTTAGCTTTCTGTGTAGCAAGGCTCTCTGTTGATCAGGCTTAAGTCATGTAATCCTAGTCAAATCACTGGTAAACTAAAAACAAATCTTATCTTGGTTCAACCTGCTTATGTGGTTGGATTGTGGAATGGTATTTGGAAAGGTGTTTTGCTGAGTTTTTACCAAGGAAATGAGACTACCTGGTATAGTTGGAAAAATCGCCAGGGCTCGCGGTTGCCCTTCCCAGTATCAGGGAATTGAGAACGCGGGAAGCAGGCCACCAGAGAAAGTGCTTGTATTCAACTGCATGTGGTAGCTGCTAGTCAGAGACCAGTACTGTGCTGCACGGAGAAGTTGGCATTTCAAATTCTGGTGGGAGTGGGATGGTGAGAAACGGTTAAAAATAATGCCAATCCATTTTTAACATTTGATTAAAAAAACTGTTTAAATATGGCATTGAAGTTTTGATTTCTTAATAGCTGGTCTTGACAAATTTGTAGCTTTTAGTTGTCTGCCGTGATCTGCTTTTTCGTCCTTGGGGTGTTGACCAATTTTCTGGTTGTTGAGACATTTCTTAATTACTTTGAGGTAAAATAGTGAAACAGAACCTGCTTCTCAGAAATGGTGTGTTGAATATTAGTTTACCAAGTAGCATAATCCACTCAGCTACCCAGCTAACATAACAGCCTCTGTCACTGTTGTTAGAAGACACCCATAATGTGATTCCCTTGTTGTAAATCAGCAAGAACTTGTGCTCTTATTTTTGTTATTTCTGCTAACCAAAAGAAAAGAGTATTTTATAAAGTCTTCTTGGGTACCTTTCATGATAATATCTTGTCTGTTTCCAACAACAATAGCTGAAATGAAGTATTTCCTTAGGTTAATGCTTATAGCGTTAAAACTATCACCAGTTACTGCCACTTAAAAATTATGCTAGTAGCATAATAGTAGTTCATGATAGTGAAGGTTATTACTACTGTGTTACAACTTAAATGCTGATGGTTCAAGTCCCTGGTCTTTCATTTACCAGCTGTAGGACCTTGTGTAAGTTGCTTAACTTCCCTGCTCCTCAGTTTCATCACATGTAAAATGAGGATGATAAAATAAGTTGTATATGTAAAGAACTCAAGACATTACCTCCACGTGATTACTGTCATCAGCTATCAGTGCTAGCTGATTTTGTTGTTATTATTTCATAAGCACAGAAAAGCTGATAGAAAACCATGCCTGCTGTGAATATGGTATATATTCTTATGTATTCTTTTTTTTCTCAGCCTTTCCTAAGCCCAAGCGGGAGTGCACGCTATTTGATTCTTATTCAGAGTCAATGCCTGCGAACCAGCAGCCCCGTGATTTGAATAGAATGGAGGTAAAAGATTTTCATATATTAATGAATCATAAATGTGTGTGGAATTAAAATCCGTTAGCCTGTGTTCTTTACAGGCTGGAAAATCCACTTTCATAACATTTTCTTTTCATGTTGAGTACTTATGTTGAGGCTCAGCCTTTCAAATCTAGACACCAGATATAGCTATAGTTACTTTTTTTTCCCTTTTCTTCCTAGAACTAGATTTAGTGAAATAAGCATAGTAGTGTCTTGACCTTCTAGGGGTGAAATGTAAGTATAGACAAAAGAAGCCAGAAAAAATGCTAGCCAAGTTGTTTATTTTAACCAAGCTTTAATTTTAGAGTAAAAATAGTAAAGTATTTTTAGTAGCTGAGTAGGAACAAAGTCTAATGGACCAGAACAGTTTTAAGAGGAAGTTTGAGAACTATGTAAGAGGATCCCAAATCACATTCAAAGCTGCCTTCTCCCTTAGGGCTTTTAGTGTTTGGACCAAATGAAGACTAATTTGGATTATCCCCCAGAGAAATCTGTAGAATTCCTTCAGTGTTGAGCCACTGATGTAAGGGCCTAGCCACGTGCTTAGTGGTCCATAGGTATGCGTCAATAAATAGGAGTCATTATGGTTATTGTTTTTTTTTAATTTATTCATGACAGACACACACATACACACACAGCGGGGGGTGTGCAGAGACACAGGCAGAGGGAGAAGCAGGCCCCATGCAGGGAACCCGACGCGGGACTCGAGGTCTCCAGGATCACAACCCGGGCCAAAGGTGGTGCTAAACCACTGGGCCACTGGGGCTGCCCATAATGGTTATTATTAATATCATTACAATCTTCATCATCATCATCACTATTATGATTGCTGTTGCTGTGATTACAACTTATGATATTTGCTATTCCCATCCTAAAAAAAAGTCTGGAAATGTGTAATAAATGGAGGTTTATTCATAGGCTGTTGTTACAGTCCTCTGACCCTGCTGAAAACTGTTGCAAGATGATGGAAGTCAGAGGCAGGATACAGGGCCATTTCTTTAATTTCTTGCAAATGTATGTGATTATTTTTTTTCCACAGTACTCTCAAGCATACAGTCTGTGTTGCAATGACCTCTGTTCTTCTGTGATGGAATCAGCCTGCTTCTGCAGTGCTCCCTCTGATCACACCTCTTTTCACCTCTGTGCTACTCTTTCTTTGAGTCATAGCTTCTGTTATTTTCCTCAATAGATTTCTACTCATGGGAAATAAGTATACAGTAACATCAGGAGGAGTGATAGATGTGCATTTGAGGAGTTTTAGGTGTTTAATTTTTTTGAAATATGAGTATGATGGAGAAGCAGATAAAATAATCAGCCACTTTTCATAGTCCTCTTTATACTCTGGGGTTGCTGGCAGTGTCTGGAGACTTATGCAGTTGCCCTGTTTTTGTTTGTTTCTTTGTTTGCTATGGGTCCCCCTACTTGTATAATGTTATGAGGTTGTTAGGTGATTAAAAAAATGTCATAAATTCCTATTCTTTCTAGATAAATGTTACATTTCAACTTGCCACGGTATCAGGTGGTCTTTGCCCTTCCAACAGAAACAAATAATGCTGTGTTTTACAGACATTAGTTACTGGCTTGTGCTGCTTTCTCCCATGTAGTCATCTATCATCTGTCTAAAAGAAAAGGAGCGGGATCCCTGGGTGGCGCAGCGGTTTGGTGCCTGCCTTTGGCCCAGGGCGCGATCCTGGAGACCCAGGATCGAATCCCACGTCGGGCTCCCGGTGCATGGAGCCTGCTTCTCCCTCTGCCTGTGTCTCTGCCTCTCTCTCTCTCTGTGACTATCATAAATAAATAAAAATAAAAAAAAATAAAAGAAAAGGAGCAAATATATAGTTGTAAATGGAGATACTTTTAAAAACGCACGCACACTCTGATGTCCTTGATGACATTATGAATATTCACCTTTATGGACGTGATGTGCAGCTAGTTTTATGTTATATACTTTTGTATACTTTAAATTGGCTCTTTGGGGGGTGGTGGTGGGTGGTGGTTTAAAGTCTTTGCTTTTGCCCTGTCCAAACAAGAAAGCAAAACAATAACAACTCCTCATTCCCAACAAAATTGTTATATTCTAGGGTGGGTACTTTTACATAATCATGTAATAATATACAGAATTCAAGGACAAAGTAATGAGGCTAATTGATGCTTTGGCCATTCAAGAAGTATAGGTCAAATTTTAGTAGCTGATGATTAAATATTTCATTTTTTTCTATTTTATTCATTGTTCTTTCTACCAATCTTTTAATCTCTCATGAATGCTTGCATAGGATTTAAGTAGATCTTGGTACTAGTCCTGTGAGGGATGATTCCATATAGGTGTTTGTGCTCTGAATGAAGCTGATTTAGGTCATGAGAACTTTTTTTCAGCAGTACAGATCAGATCTCTAGACAGTAGAGCAGTAACCGTGTATTTGTTTCCTTCAAGAATTAAAGATTATAATTTCAGGTAAAGTCCTCTTTAGCAGTGCTTCTTACATTACTGGATGTCTTTCTTTTGTAAATTAGCTTTGCTAAAATGTAATTCACATATTATACTCCTCTAAAGTTTATAATCCAGTGGTTTTTAGTATATTAAGAGAGCTGTGCAACCATCAATATAGTCTTAATTTATTTTATTATTTATTTATTTAGTCATTCATTCATTCATTCATTCATTCATGAGAGACAGAGAGAGAGAGAGAGAGAGAGAGAGAGAGAGAGAGGCAGAGACACAGGCAGAGGGAGAAGCAGGCTCCATGCAGGGTCTCCAGGATCAGGTCCTGGGCTGAAGGCGGTGCTAAACTGCTGAGCCACCTGGGCTGCCCAATATAGTCTTATTTTAGAACTTTTTTCATCACCCCAGAAAAGGGAAAGCCTGTGCTCATTAGCAGTCACTGACTGTACCCTCTCCCCTCCAACCTCTGGTGATCAGTAATCTATTTTCTGTTTCTGAATTTGCCTATTGTGAACATTAAATATAGAACCACACAATATATGGTGGGTTTTTTTTTTTTTTTGGTGATAGCCTTCTTTCATTAAGTTCATTGTTATAGCATATGTCAGTGCTTCTTTCCTTTTTATTGCCGAGTAGGGTTCTGTTGTGTGGATCTGCCACATTTTGTTTGTATGTTCTTTAGTGGATGGACATTAGGCTTGTTCCCACTTTGGGGTTGTGAGGGAAAAATGCTGCTATGAACATTCATGTATCAAGTTTTGTGTGGATTTAATGTTTAAGTTCTTTTGGCTGTTTACCTAGGAGTGGAATTGTGCATCATATTGTAATTTGTGTGTAACTTTTTGAGGTACTACCAAACTGTTTTTCCAAGCACCTGAAGCATCTTACATTTCTCTACCAGCAATGTAGGAGGGGTCCAATCATTCCACATCCTTGTTAACACGTGTTATTGTCTGTGTTTTTTATTTCAGCCATCCTAGTGGGAGTTAAGTGGTTGGTATCTTATTGTGGTTTTGATTTAAATTTCCTAGTGACTACTGATGTTGAGCACCTTTTCTTGTGATTATTTGCTATTTGTGTATCTTCTTTGGTGAAATGTCTATTCAAATCATTTGTCCATTTATACATTGGGTTATTATTGAGTTATAAGTGTTGTTTACCTATTCTGAATATAAGTCCCTTATTAGATACATAATTTGTAAGTATTTTTTTTCTTTGGTTTTTCTTTTTCCTTTCTTGATAGTGTCCTCTGGAACACGAATGTTTTCTTACTTTAATGAGGTCCAGTTTGTCTATTTCTTTCTTTTGTTTCTTGTCCTTTTGTTGTCATATCTGAGAAACCATTGCCTAACAGAAGATCATGAAGATTTACTCCTATGTGGTCTTCTAAGAATTGTATAGTTTTAGGTCTTACATTTAGGTCTGTGATCCAGTTTGAGTGAATTATTCTGTATGCCGTGAAGAAGAGGTCCACCTTCATTCTTTTTTTTATTTCAAAGATTTATCTATTTACTTTAGAGAGAGAAGAGAGAAAAAGAGAGAGAACAGGGGAGGAGGGTCAGAGGGAGAAGGAGAATCTTAAGCAGATTCTGCACTGAGCATGGAGCCCAATGTAGAGCTCAATCTCACAACCTTGAGATCATAAGCCAAAACCAAGAGTTGGGCGCTTAACAGACTGTGCCACCCAGGTGCCCCAACCTTCATTCTTTTGTATATGGATATCCAGTTATCTCAGAATCATTTATTGAAAAGACAATTTTCCCCCATTGAATTGTTTTACACCCTTGTTGAAAATCAGTTGACTGTAAATTTAAGGGTTTATTTATAGATTCTCAATTGTATTCCATTGATCTAGATGTCTGTCATAATGCTAGTACCACCCTGTCTTAATGAATATAACTTTGTGGTAAATTTTGAAAGGAAGTTTGAGTCCTTCAACTTTGGTCTTTTGTTTTTTTTCTTTTTAAAGAATCTTTTCATTATTCTGGCTTCCTTGCATTTCTTTATGAATTTTAGGACAAGCTGTTCAAATTCTGCAAAAAAGCAAAGAAGGATTGCACTGAATCTGTAGATGAATTTGGGGAGTACTCCATCTTAACAATATTGAATCTTCTTACCCATGAGCATGGGATGCCTTTCCATCTATTTTGGTTTAAAAATTTCTTTCAAAGGTGTTTTTTTTTGGGGGGGGGAATGACTTTTTAATCTATATTTTATACTCCTAAATAATTTTCTTCTATTAGGGATCTAGTTTATAATTGACTGGGAGAAGCAAATGAAAGAAAGGCACTGTTAAGATACATTCTGTGTTCTATTGGAGATAGTAGACTTTGGGAAATTATATCTGGAAGCTTCATGGTAATGCCAAGAATGACCTGCTTGAGGATTGTTAAATCCTAGATCAGGTTACCACCAAGCAGTACTGAACTCCATTCTTCAAAACAGTTGAAAAACAGAAGTATTGCTTATCTCAGTAGGATTGTTCAGATTCTGAGAGGCAAACCAGTTAAACCTTCTGTAGCACCAAATAGCTCCAGGATTTAACCCACTTCCTTTAAGGTTTATTTAATTTTCTGAGTATGTTTAAAATTTAAAAAATGTCAAAGGGCATATAGTGACAGGTCCTCCTCCCATCCTTTTCCCCATCTACCCAGTCTCCCTTTAATGTTTATGTATCTTTCTAGAATTTGTTTATATATATAGTAATTATTAATACATATTATTCTTTTATCAAAGGTCTTAGAATGCATATTAATTGAAACTTTAAAAAAAGATTTTATTTATTTATTCATGAGAAACAGAGAGAGAGGCAGAGATACAGGCAGAGGGAGAAGCAGGCTCCATGTAGGGAGTCTGACATGGGACTCGAGTCCCACGTCGCCAGGATCACACCCCAGGTGGAAGGCGGCGCTAAACTGCTGAGCCACTCGGGCTGCCCTAATTGAAACTTTAAAAGAAATTTATAATAAGCAGATTTTAAACAGATCAATACGTGATTAATTTGGGTATTCTTTCTTATTAGTATTAGTGAAGACTTTCCCCTGATTGAGTTAGGAGAAAATTTTGTTCTGTTCATTTTTCTTATTCCTTGACAAGGAGGCTGTTTGAATCAGGGTTGAACACTCTCTGCATAACACATTTTGGCAAATACATACATTAGGGGCCACTTGTCAGAACCTCTCTCTGCTTGTGAAAAAGTACATAAAGTGCAGGTTTGTTTTTGACAGAATGGGCAAATGTCACACAATTCTCCAGCTGAATCCCACACTGGATTCATATTTAATGTGCAGTCTTATACATATATCTAAATCTGAATTGTCATTTTTTTCTCTGCATGTGTAAATTTTCTTTTTTTTAATTTAAAAATTTTTAAAGTAATCTCTATACCCAATGTGAGACTCAAATTCAGGATCCTGAGATCAAGAGTCACATACTCTATCGAGTGAGCTAGCCAGGTGCCCAACATGTACATTTTCTTTTTTTTTTAGATTTTATGTATTTATTCATGAGAGACACAAACACACACACACACACAGAGAGAGAGAGAGAGAGAGAGAGAGAGAGAGAGAGAGAGAGAGAGATCGGCAGAAACACAGGCAGAGGGAGAAGCAGGCTCCATGCAGGGAGCCCGACGTGGGACCTGATCCCAGGTCTCCAGGATCACGCCCTGGGCTGAAGGCGGCACTAAACCGCTGGGCCACCCGGGCTGCCTTGTACATTTTCAACACAAATTAACTTATACCTCACTGGGAGTCTAAAAAAATAAAGTAGTATTAAATGTCAGGGTTTACTGAAGACAGAAATATTGGCAAGCTATGCTGCTTTTAAAGCATTTTCATATGTATGTGCAACTTAATTTCCATTTCAACCTGTATAATTTATTTACTTTTTTCCCCCAAGAAGCTATCTATTAAAGACACAGCTGACTTTCCTGTCCCAACCCAAGATGTGACTAGTGATGACAAACAAGGTATGAAAAGAATGAGTTTTCTTCCTTTAGGAACATTCTACCTGTGTTTCTTCATCTACTTCTCTTGGAATGAATGGCTGGCTTCTGGAGCATATGAGGACAGTAGTCCCCATGTGAACACATTTGGATGGTTTAAGTAGTTCAAATTGTTTTCAGAAAACTGTAGTTTCTTAAGTGGTAACGGGAGCTTCCAAAGCCCCCCAACTCATTGGCCCCTTACTCACTGCTGACCCTCAAACTATACTTTACATTGAAATTGGGTTGCACTAATTAGAAAATGACTGGAAGCTGGAAGAATTGAGAGCTTAACATCTTGGGTTGGCAGATGTGAGCCCAGAACATCAGTATAAATGTGTATTTGTGCACAGGTCTAATCCTTGAGGAAGTTATCTTCTGTCCCTGGGATTTATCTTCTGACTTTGTGTCATGGAGCCAGCAACCATTTGTCTGTCTTACCTGGCGGGTGAGAAGCAGTATAGCACAGTTTTCCATGTCAGAGCTACCGTGAAGCACAGAGATGAGTTGGCCTGGGAATATCTAGAAGAACAGGAGGACATCTAACCCCTCCCCACAGCACTACTCCGTATAATGCTTCATAATCTACCAGGTCCTTCCTCATTCATTGTCTTACTCAGTTTTCACAAAACTCAATGGAGGCTAGTGTGTTTTATCACCTAAAATACAGAGATGAGTAAACCGAAGTACAGGCAGTATGAATCATTAGTTTAATAATAAAAAGAGTGGAGATAAGAACAAACATTTTCTAAGTCTCCAGCCAGTATCTTTCTATTATTCGATACTGATTTACTACCTGTGAATGACAGGCTTATCTGAAGGGACTAAAAATCAGTGAAACTATTGTAGGGGTTATTGTCGAGACCTGCCATCGTTGTAGCTTTGTATGGAAGTTAAACATGAAAAATAAGTTTCCTATTAGGAAATAATAATTGCTTGCTCTCTATTTAAATATTTGCTCAAGAGAGGTAGGCCGAACTAGTCATTTTTTTTTTGCAGCAGTGCATGCTCTGATCAGTGTCTTTACTAGTGGGTCTTAGCCTTGACTGCACATTGGAATAACTGGATGAGGTCTAAAAATACTGAAGGCTCCTTCTCACTCCTAGAGAGATTCTGATGTCATTGGTCTGGGTGCCAGGAATGAAATGGGGAAATTTCTGATACTTTCTCATAATACTCCTTGTAGCCACTAAAGGTGCTCTCTGTTGAAAGTTGGAAATACTGCTTTGTTCTTTGTGGGATGAGAACCTGTTTCCATACTTTAAGGGGATCTTTATTGTTTTACAGAGTGCTATAGCAACCTGCAAATGGTTCATAACACCATTTCCATAAGTGATGACTAGGGATTCTTTGTTTTAATATACTGTGCCTCAGACATAAAATTTACAGTTTTTTTCTTTTCTCCGTTCTTTCTTGTGTTCTTTAAGAACAAAACAAAACACGTCTAGCTTTGAAAAGTACTGCAGATGAAGCCTTACCAAAGGATATGTCCGAGGATCCAGGTAGGAGAAAACCATTATACTATATTTTTATGTAATTATTTATTAGTTTAAAAAACCCAGTAGTTTCTATGAGTAGAAAATTAGTAGTAATGTAGATTTCTCTCTAAATATTTGCCTTGTGTTTTATTCTAAGAAAACCTTTTGGTTGCTTTTTACTCCTTCCCTCTTTTCAGGTATGAGAAGAGGGTGTTTTTTTTTTTTTTAAGTTCTGAGTTTAGGTTTCACTGATAGGATCACTCAGTTTGAAGTTAGAGTCTCACTGTTACTTTTACTATAAAATTGGGAAGGTTCGGAGTTGAGATTTCAGTAAGCCATTGTAGTTTCTGTGTAGAGTAAGGAGCTGATGGGGTAGATCAACTGGAGGCCCACAGTTGAACTTTTCCATTTCCAAAGCAAAAATCTCAGATATTTTCATTAAACTTCACCACCACCAAGAAGGCAAGTAAGTGTGCTTATACATGGAGTGGATTCCAAGGAGAAAAAAAAGTTGTGTTTGCCCATATTTTGGAGAGTTGGAACTATGTCTGTGACCTGTGGAGATGACCAGACCTGTGTCCTCAGCTCACTTGAATGGGAACCATCACCGAACCAGGCTGAACCTAGTTAAAAACAAACTGGCTAGGGAGGGTGTTACTATTTGGAGCTCCAGGTATAAGTTTGTGAAAGAAGTTGCTGCATTCTCTCATTGTTATCTCTCATAATATTTAATTAAGTAAATCATGTTTGTTTTTGTTAACTAGCTATCATCCCTGGCTTATTTGTTTAAAGTTGGAACAAAGGAATCAATGTAACATTGAGGCTTATGCTACTATAGTACAGTATTTCCCAAACACTAAGTTCTTTCAAGGTTTAAAAGAGAGGGGTGGGGGAAGAGAGAGCATGAATATGAATGAGAATATATGATTGAGTTCAGTGATGAGGTTTAAGAATCTGTGTTTTTCGGCAGCCCCCCAGGCGATTCTGATGTGTAGCCTATTTTGGGAACCTCTGCCTCTAGGAAATGATGTTAAGAAATAGAAAATTGAGATTGTAGATCAACCATGACTCCAAAAGTGATAAGAATTCTCAAGCCTGGTTTGGGCTTTTGAAAATGATTTGGGTTCCTTCATCATAGGGAGAAATGCTCAGTTTATGTAAAGGCAAATGGATTGCTGGCTTGTTAGAGAATTGGACTTTAGGCTTACCCTCTTACCCCGATTCAGGACAAATGCCCACGGTAGGTTCTTTCCATCTCTAATTTCTGGAGCTAAAGTGGATGCGCCTCAGTTTTTGTAAACTTCATGTTAACAGTATTAATAAAAGATTGAATTTGGAGAGTTAGATTGGTGCTTTTCCAACAGCCTTTGAGGTTAATAACTTCCTGTTTTTTCCATGAACATTATGTGTTCTCTGGAGCATGAACTTTAGACGTCATTTTTAAGATCCCTTCATTGAATAGGGCATGGTGTCACCAGACAAATGCTATCAGCGTGTGCCACAGTGCATGAAGTACATCTGAATTTGTTTCACATTCTGCCTGGGAACACGCTATGTGGTTTCTGATTCATTTTTACCATTGCAGCACCTTTCTGGAGTGGATATGAGGGAATCCCTCATCTGAAAACATATTTAATAACCTCTTTCCTGGGGGCATGTTTGGATTTCTAGTGTGAGACACTATAGTTTCAAGGTGGTGGTTTTTAATTCTGAATGTCTGTCCATGCCATACAGACATTTCACCTCAGTTGAATTGCTGCCTTTTTGAGAATTAAACTTTAGGCTTGCTTTTTTATCCTATTTCAGTTTGCTGCAAAGATGACATGCCTGGGGTGTTCTAGGAAGTTGTCATTCTTCTTCCCTCTTCCCAGCTAAATGAAAAGCTGCGATCTACCCGCTGGCTTCTGCCTGGATTCCAATACATCATGCCCTGGCCATTTTTGCAGTTATTCACATGTCCCAAATGCTGAGTCTGACTTTCAGGGACTTGGAGGCTGATGGAAGACTTAATTGGAATAGTGTTCTCTAGCTTTTTGTGATCTGAAACCTGTGGGGACTTACCAAGATCTGCCTCGGATATATTTTCTCAGGTGGCAGGAGAAGTATCCCCCTGTCCTGCTCTTCCACAATGGATGATAATAATGATAATAGTAATGGTGAAGAGGATGATATTGTGGTGGGACCATTATCAGGGAATGGAGGGATTTCCTTGTCACATATTTTTAAATATGCTTTTACCCTTTTAATTGCTGAAAGTGGATATATTAGTTGAGTCTAATACATTCCTTAGCTAACGTCATATTTCAGCCTAATTCAACAGGGCACACTGCACAATGGTAATCTTTTTCTTGATGTCTGTAGGTCATGCTGAGACCTCTTTGCCCTCACACTGTAGTCTTCAAACACCATTGGTGACTCTAGCAGCTGCCCCACTGCCAGCTGTCACCCCATGGTCTTAAGTTACCTGCTCCCACTTGCACTTCCTTTGCTGTCTAAGCTTGAAGAATTAGGAGCATTCTACAACCATAATATTTTGCAATTCTAAAATACATTTAGTTTTCAAAGTACCTTTACCTTCTCTCTCCTTTGAGAAAAGGGCCACATTTTTATTATCTTCATTCTGTAGACTAGGAAACTAAGGCTCAGAAACATAATAGCTAGGGTTGTGGCCAGGAGGGACACATAGACCTCAGGATTCCTGTCCAGGTCTTCACTGCTTATCCATACCCCACACCCCATCTGTCTGTCTATCTCTCACTGGCAGGGTTCACCCCTCCTTCCACACCCATTCTCAACCCAACAAAAAGACAAAGATAATGGTAGTTGACAAAAGAATTAACGGTCACCCCCATGATCTGGTTTGGGGAACCAGACTTTATTTTAATGTGACTGAGGCTTTCCCGACCCATATATTTCTGGAAAGCAGTGTGGTCTGAGAGAGAAGAGGAATTCTGAGACAGCTGTGGGCAGCCTGCCCAGGGGGCAGCCCCCAGCTTTGTGGTGAGTCTGGTCACACTGTCCACTTAGCCTCACGGCTGCCTGCTTGACTGCAGGACTGGCTCCCCTTTAGCTGCTTTCTCTGACTGCCTGGGGTTTGTGTTTGTGGGAGGTGGGGTAGGGGAAACTATATGCACATGCAGGTGTAGGTGCATGATAATGGACAGAACAGGGCTCAAACTCCTCAGGCCTCCCATGCTTTTCAGGGCTCTGGCAGCATTTTGATGGATTGAAGTCAAAAGATGCCCGTGTTCTCACTACAGCAAGCTAAAATGCTTATTTTGGGGAGAAATGTATCTTTTCTACAACTGACTATATCTAAGGGAATATATATTGCTAATTTGCTTTGTGCCTTGTTAGCATTTTTAGCTCCCCTTTCTCTCCTGCTTATCTAACCCATGGATTTTAATGGCCATCGTCAATTCAGGCTGCTTCATCCCAAGGAGGGTTTTTATCTTTAGAGCAATGTAAAAAAGGATGGGATAATTCATTGAGACGTTTTCTCTCTGGAAGAATTTGTGGAAACAATATACAAACTATATTCTCTTTGTTCCTAGTTAGTAGCACTTTTTCTATGGATTTTTATGACATTTTTTGTTGAAAAATTTGCAGTGTTTGCAAAACCTTAGCATAACTAATGGTTTCTAAAGTTGTCTTCCAAAGGGTATTGAAAACATAAAAAAGGATTAATGTTTTTGTAAATGTTTCTAATTACTCCCAACAACTTGTGATGGGAAAGTAGGCTCCATGGGTGTTGATACTGAGCAAGTTAGTTTATAATTTAAATTCAATAAGGAAAAGTCATATGATTGATGAAATATTTTGATGATTTCACTCCGTAATATCCTCCGTATGATTTGGTCACAGAGACAGAGGACACACGAATATTTTCTTATAGGAAAATCTGTGTAGCTCATTTCCACTTAACTTGTGGGACCTGTGGTAATGCTGCTCTGGTAGTGTGTACTTTAAGAAAAATCTTAAAATGTATGACCTGATAGATTTCTTTTTAGCCTTTAGGGGAAGCTGGTTCAAAATCAATTACTAGGCTATCATGATAGACTAAGAAAACCATACGTCTGAACCCACTATTATTTAAGTAGATAACCCCGTGAGAGGGTTGTCTTTTTAGACTGGAATTTCTTTATTCATCAACATAGATTTGAGAATAGCTTCTTAGTGCTCTGACAAGAGGAAAAAAATGTTGATTTCTCGGTCCTTTGAATTGTGCCTTTAGCTTTAGAAATAAAATTACAAAATAATGAAAACGTGGAGACGGTTAAGTTCTCCACAGGGACACCTGTACCTCACATTTACCTGTTGATGTATTTGTTCTGTACTAGCCCAAGTATTGCTTATAAACGTGTTCAACTGCAGAAATGAAAGCCAAGTAAACAACAACTAATCTTTGTTTCAGCCACTTCTAAGGATTCCAACAGTCTCAAAGCAAGACCAAGATCCAGGTAGTGTTTGTTTAATTTCTGTTTTAATGCCCTTTGTATCCTGTCCCTGACTAGAAATAAAATCCTACACCCGAAGTCCAACCCACAATTTCCTTTTCCTTCAGATTTGAAGCTTAGAATAGATGTGAGTTCACATGTCATGAAGGGCCTGTTTGGAGCATGCAGTGCTGCTGGGAGACTCTTAGTTTCTGTGTTTATTAGTGCTGGAAGATGGTGGCTGCTGCTTGGCTGGCCGCCTGACAAGAACTGGTTTGTGTGGATATGGCCCACTTGTTGCAGGATGATAAGGAATAGAGGGCAGTAGCTTTGGAGAGAAGGAAATGTGGTTAAAAGGTTACACTGAAATTTACCATCATGACAAGGTGGACCCCAAAAAGTAAGATGCCTGAGGGATAAAGCCTAGAGTAGGAAAAGAAAATGCTCACAGTGATTTTAATGAGGCTTTAGGCTTTAGGTAAGCAGTGCTTATGGTCTCTTTTATCCTTAGAGCCTCTTTTTGGCTTCACAGTTTTTAGATCGGTAGAAGCTAGTAGAAGAGGGAGTGCAAGTAAGACAGAGCTGCAGTTGACATCAGACATCAGAATGGAGGATCAAGGAGAAATACAGAAACATTAAGAGAACACCAGAGAGGGGTAATGGTATTGGGATCACTCTTCAGTGGTAGACAGCAGTGTAAGACAGGACAGTACATATGTGTTTTCCAAGTTTTGCTTTGACTCTTGGTAACTTTTTTTTTCCTTTGGCTACTTAGACACATTCCTGAAGAAGTGAATTTAAATCTGATCTTATTTCATATGCTTGAAGTATTGATGTTTAAGGAAACCTCATCTTTTTGTAAATCTAAGAGTTACCCCTTAGTTTGTTTATCTTTTATGTCTGGATTTTCTAAATTGAGGGTTTTGTTTCCTTATTTAGAGAAGATACAGATATCTAAATATTTTTTTGGAACAATAGATACAGTAATTCTTTTGGTTACTGTTTCTGTGGCTAACACATTTCCTCATCTTTTTTTTTTTAAAGGATCAACAGATCTTTTACTGTACTGGCTTACAGTATTGGCTTTAGAATGTAGGAATAGTAATATTTATCTGTCCTCATAAAAAACTTTTGAATTACAGAAATCTGTTTATGTGTGCTATGTTAACTGTGGATTAAACCTCACAGTTTTCTTTTCTTGACTTCCTCTGTTTCTCAAAGCAAATGAAAGTACAAAATTTCATAGTCACATGTTCTGTTATTAATATCTCTGGCCAACTTGTATATATTATTCTTTTAGGGATTGGTCTCTTGATAGAATTTAGATGTTTTTATTTTCATTGCTCCCAACTGGGTCTTCACTGAGACCGAGAGGATCAAATTATTTTTATCTTCCTTTTTAGAATAATAAAACTCTGTAGAACTCTGAGGGAAAGAGGGAAGATCACCATTCTAACACCACTTATATTCATTATTTTGTTGATTCCTGCATGTTTGTATTTAAATTGGTTGTAGTCATACTTTTACTTATTTAATATTCAGTTAACTTTCCATATGAAAATACTGGTACACAGGTTATATATATATGGAAGTAGAATGGAATGAGATATGTAGTGTCGGATGGTGTGCCTTACTCTATGTATGTGTTTTGATATACACACAAACACACATCATATTTTCTTTCTTGACTGAAGAATGTCACTAAAGCTCTTTCTGGCAGAGAAGTTTTTTCTTTTTTAATTTCTAGCTAGAGTCTCTGATTTCCTTTTTAAATCAAGAGTTCCCATTTGAAAACTTTGTTGTCCTTTTCTATTGGTTTCCTTTTACTCTGATTGAAGTATTAGAGCATTCTTCCTGCCAGTTCTATATGCCTTTGCCTTGCCTGTCTTGCCAGTTATTTTACGGGGACCACTCCAGAGCATGTTACATGCCATTGTGGTGGTTTTATGAAAGATTGCAACCTTGCATGACAAACAACTCTTCAACTACCACAAAGGAACCTTGAGGAGGGAATGATTCAGGAAAGTGCAAACTTGTTATGTCAAAATGAGCTTTACCAAGAACTGAGGTTGTGTCATAATTATCAATAGATTCAGATTTCATAAATGGCACTTTTATAGCTAAATATTAATAATAGTTTTCTGAGGTTAATTTGTCCCTAGAACATATCTCTGACTCAAAGGTCATTTTGTTCTTTGACAACTTAGACGAGAAGCTGAATAGAATGGATGTACACATCCACTTCTTAGAAAATCATATTGAGAACTCCTCCACAAACCTGTTTCTAAGCAATAGATAAATGTATTGAGTTGAATTAATTTAGAAAATAATTAAATCTGTAATAAATAGTGTAGCCGCTACTTCCAAAAGATTTCTTTCCTGGCTCATAGACAGTATCAGAATATTTTTAAAATGGGATTTAGAAATAGATTGTAGTTTGAATTGAACCGGTGTAACTACCTAGCTGTGTGACCTTTGGCAGGTTATTTATCTCCTGTTTCTTTGAATGTAATTATTGGAGTTATAATTTCAGAAGTTGTCTAGTTAGTTACTGCCTTGTTACAGATTGAGGGAGAAAGTTAAGAGGAAGCTTTTGCTTTGAAAATTTCCCCATACTGGTATTTCTCATGGTAAAACAGCCTAGACCCTCCATCTGATTGACATGTTTCCCTTTCCTAAATTTTATTTGTGGCATATTCCCTTGAGCATCTGATGCTTACTCTCGGGTTATCTGCCCCGCTTCCACACATGCCTGTCATCAAGGTCACATGTAAACAGGAGAAAAGTGCTGCAGCCCGTTAAGACCACCAACCCCTTCTGTTACAATATGGAAATGCCTAAGCTGAAGGTTTACATGTGATTTTCATCGACAGTACCAATAAAAACTGTTTTGAATTTACGGAAAGCTTTTCCTTTGGGTAAATTTAGGTCTAAGATATAATATGAACAAAGAGGTTAAAAAAGGTTCTGGTTCATGGTTTGGGTTTGGACAGATAATGGCACTCAAGGGACAGTCGAACTCTTGATTGCTTTGAGATGGGCACTTGTCAGTCCTTTATAGTGATTTTGAGTTTTTTGGGCATTTTCATTTCAGTCCTGCTTCAGAGACTAAAGCTTTGCTATCTCCCTTCTGACCTTCCCTTATTTTGCTGCAGATCTTACTCTAGCACCTCCATAGAAGAGGCCATGAAAAGGGGCGAGGACCCTCCCACCCCACCACCGCGACCACAAAAAACCCATTCCAGAGCCTCCTCCTTGGATCTGAATAAAGTCTTCCAGCCCAGTGTGCCAGGTGAAGTGCCCCTCTGCACCCCAGTCTTTCCCTTTCCTGTTGGGAGTCACTGGATGTATGTCTGCCACAGAGGCCTTTGTGAGTCCACAGAATGAACAGATCTGGCCATTTCCCATCCCAGGAAGGTCTTTGAGTTGCTATGGTATTCTGGGGGTGGGGGGGAAGCACTTCTAGGCAAATAAATATCCCATGTGTCTGGAGCCTTGCCCACACTCATATGGGCCAAGAATTATGAAATTCTGTACCAAGAAGATGAAAATCCTTTAACCCCAGACATCCCACTGAGTGCATGGCTGGGGTCTTGTTTTCTGCATTGTGGTAATTTGCTGTCTGTTATTTCCTGAGATACTTATGTATGAAAGATCTTGGCGATTGACACCTGGCCAGAATCTTCTGTATCTTATCTTTGTGAAGATCCTGTGTATTGGAGGGTTTAATGCCAAGGGGGCCCCGCTTTCTAAATCTGACTGATGGTTAGGTGGTTGGTGGAGGGAACTGGGCAAGGGCTCCTCCAGGTGGCCTCCTGAGGGGCTTCTGGGGGTGGGGCTTCCTTGAGCCAGCTGCTATACAGCTGGGTTGGAGGGGTGGTAGAGGTTGGAGGGTCCTGTCTGCTTCCCTGGCTCCCTGGGAAGTGGGAGATGTCCTCCTAGGGAACCTACAGAACAGCAGATGAGAACTATGCATGCCTTTGCTTAGTGAAGGTGCTAGGATGCAGCGCCTTCCCAAGTGTTATTTTGGGAGCAGCAAGGGCCTTTCCACTGACTAATGTAGGCAAGCTATAAATACAGTGATTTCCTGGAACTTTTTCTATATTTGTGTGCATTTTAAATCAAGCCAGCCTCAGATGCTAGTGATTTGCAGATTATTATCTTTTCTACTAAAGCAAGAAAAGACTCTCCTTGGCTCACACATTAGCATGACCTCTGTGTCCCAGCAGAGCTCAGCATGTTTTAGTTGTTCTAATAAAGTACTCTCCTCACAGTAAAGTTGCAGATTGTTTTTTAATATACTAGAGTCTGGAACTCTCTATGAAATTTGATTCTCTGCCATGAGTTCATCAGATAAAAATTTGCCTTGCATTTTCTCCCATACTTTGATCCAAATTCTGGCATAATTTCATAGTAACTGGTATTTGAGGTGGGAATAGCCACAGATGATGATGCTATAAAAATTTCACATGGCTGGCGGATTATGACCCAGAAGATTTTTCTGTGCATGCAAGAAGATTAAAACAATCTGGGCAGCTATCTTAATACATTTTCCTTGCAAGGAGAGGCTGGAAACGTGCAAGCATCTTTCTGGCTGTGCAAGCCCACAAGGAGTGCCAGCTGTGCTGGGGAATGGATGTGCTGTGGCTTTTACGACATTGCATCATATGGTGGAAAAGACAAGATTGGATTTGGAGTCCAGCTTAGCTGCTTATTAACTGTTTTGATTTTCAGCAAGTGGCTTAATCTTTCTGCATTTCAGATTTTTAATCTCTAAAATAGGGGCAACAGTCCACGGAGCTGTAGGGTTTTGGTAAGATAATAAACATAATCCTAATAGCAACATGTTTGGCCCATAGGCACTCATTTGCACAGAAATCACTGAGGAAAGCAGAGTGAGGACAAAGTCCCCTGACCCTCTTGATATCCAGTGGGGCAGGACTGTGACCTGTTCCCTACAGTTGCTTGGTGGCCTCACAGAGGAACTGAGCCCCACTTGCTTGCTCTATTAGAAGCAAAGGATTGTAAAAAACAAAGTAAGTGAGGCTAGGTTGTTGAGCTGAGTCAGAGTGGCCTATGGTGGACTGATTGTGTGGAGAAGAAATAGGATAGAGACAAGATGCAAAGAAGCAAGAATGAAAGAAGAAAGTGAAGAAAACAATGAGGTGGTTGTTATATAGGAGTGATGATGTTTCTATAAAGGGAGGAGAGGGATCCCTGGGTGGCGCAGCGGTTTGGCGCCTGCCTTTGGCCCAGGGCGCGATCCTGGAGACCCAGGATCGAATCCCACATCAGGCTCCCAGTGCATGGAGCCTGCTTCTCCTTCTGCCTGCCTGTCTCTCTCTCTCTCTCTCTCTCTCTCTCTCTCTCTCTCTCTCTCTTTCTCTCTCTCTCTCTCTCTTTGTGACTATCATAAATAAATAAAATAAAAAAATAAACCTTTATGAAGGGAGGAGAAGGAAATAGAAGACTGTAGTGACCAAGGGGAGGAGAGCCTACAGAGAATCCTTCCCACAGACTTGGTGAAGAATTTGGACTTAAAAAGAGCTTAGAAGAGGGTGACATTAATGCCTTCAAATTTAGGAAGATCAGTTACATGATATGGAGGAGAATTACATTTAGATTTAGAATGTGTATCTATAAAAATGAACAAGCCACTTGAGCAGGATGGGACAATTGACTTTATCTTTGATATCTGTAAAAACAGTATGAACCTAAATTTCCAGGAGTCTAGGTTATCCTAGGGCTCTAGATGGGTGGGTGCTGGTATGACATCTAAAATGTATGTTTTCATAGGGATAAGCTGGTATGACATGATTGTTGTGTGTAAAACGGAGATCACCTTTTGTAATAGCTGATCCAGGTCATGGAGCCATCCTGTCCAGGCCCAAACAGCTGCTGTGTTTGATAGAAAACAGAAATGTGCAAGAAAGACTGAATCAGTGATGATGCAAGTATACAAAATCTAGATGCAGTCAGACTTGGAACTTGTTCAGTGCTGTTTAGATTTTATAGCTCTGTATTTAGAGCCATAACACATATTTTATTTTATTATTATTTTGTTTTAGAGAATATATTTTATTACTGAAATTCCTGTAAGAAAAATCGCACTTTGAAGACAGTGCTTTTTGGATCTTGACTTCCTTTTCCTCATTGAAACAGTTGTTTTCATAAAGCAAATTTTCTCATAACAGGGGTTTCTTGTTCTACTGTGTGGGTGGGAACTCCCCTCCTTCCACTCTTAGCAGTGACCTGCCCCTTCCAGAACCATACCTAAGGCTTGCAGCTGCAGGTTGCCACGGTGGTGGTCTACCCCTTCATTGCCGCCTCTACCATAAATAGCCCTGTTCCAGGCGTTGAGCATCCACCTGGCAGAAGGGTCAGTGCTTGTGTGGAGAAAACAGCCATCTTTTTAAAGTTGAAGACCAGAAACCTTCATCACTTCCGCTCAATTCTAGCTGAGGAAACTTAGTTGCATGGATCTAGCTAGCTGCTAGGCAGCTAGGAAATGTAGTTCCTGTCAGGGTAGCTATTTCTCATTGACATCCCTCCTATAAAAGAGGAGTGGATGTTGGTAGACAGTTCTTTCCACCACATCCCATATGGCCAAATATATTCAGATAAACGTGTTAAAACCATGGTGGTGGCTGAACAAAAACACATCCATGGGTAGTATCTACCCTTGGATAGCTAATGTTTTATTTCTGCTTTAGATGTACTGTAAATAATAATTAATTCCAGGGTTACGAAATTATAGTACATCTGTATTATGGAAACTTATGAAGCAGTTAAAAAGAATAAGGGATGTGTATTTTTTTTTAATTTTTATTTATTTATGATAGTCACAGAGGGAGAGAGAGAGAGGCAGAGACACAGGCAGAGGGAGAAGCAGGCTCCATGCACTGGGAGCCCGACGTGGGATTCGATCCCGGGTCTCCAGGATTGCGCCCTGGGCCAAAGGCAGGCGCCAAACCGCTGCGCCACCCAGGGATCCCCCAAGGGATGTGTATTAAGTGGAGAGCCATCTGTGATAAATTAAGTGAAAGAGTCATGATGCAGAATATGTAGGCAACTGTGGTTGCCTCTGGGGAAGAGAATAAGATGACTGGGGACAGGAGTGAGAGAGAAACTTACTTTTCATTGAATACCCACTTGTATCTTTTTAATTTTGCCTCATGTACAGATATTAAAATTTTTCTTTTTGCTCTATAGCTGCAGCAACTACAGTGGTACCTGAGAGTACCAGAAATGCCCTTTCTGACTGAGTTTACCTGTTTCAAGCTTGCCTACCATACTATGTCCAGGGTATCTTTGTGGCCAGTCTACTGCCACTTCTTAGAATGTAGCTAAAAGGACAGAAGCATTCTAGAACATTCTATAGGGCTCTGACATGTTCTTCAGATTCCTCTAAAGTGCCCTTCCAACATTGAGGAATAGTTTTTGAAGGACTTCCCATAGCCTCCATTGTGAGATGTACAGATGGGCAAAGTGTGATAAGGCTCTGTCTCAACTTGGAAGGGGGTTGTATTATTTAGTTGGCCAGCTGAGAAGAGTCTGTCTGGGTTTTTCTACAAATTGGTATTTCTTTCTGCAACTTGAGAAATATGTAAACCCTTTGGGAATAAGAGACACAACATCTCTTATCAAATAAAACCTTCAAGTTCTCTAAAGGATGAATTTGCTCACATAAATGGCCTCAGCTTTATAGATTTTCTTACTGTATCATTTGTATGAGTGCTTATTCCCTTTTAAAATCTAGTAGGATTATGGGATTCCTGTTCCACCCCCAAACTTTTGGGTCTGCAGTACACAGCTGGTTAAGGGTTCATTTTGGCAGTCTGGACAGTTTTTTTTTTTAAAATTAAAGCTTTATTGAGGTAAAATCTGCACACTGTAAAATTCGCCCTTTAAAAATATATAGTTCAGTGGCTTGTACTATATTCATACTGTTGTGCAGCCACTAGCATTATCCAATTTTAGAACATTTTCCTCACCCAAAAAGAAACCTCATATTCATTAGTAGTCCTTCTTCATTACCGTTTCCACTCCCCCCAGCTGTTGGCAACCTCTAGCCCACTGTCTGTTTCTATGAATTTGCCTGTTCAGGACATTCCATATTAATGGCATCATACAATATATGGTCTTTTGTAACTGGCTTCTTTCCCTTATTATGATATTTGCAAGGTATATCCATGTTGTAGCATGTAGGAGTACTTCATTCTTTCTATGGATGAATAATATTACATTGTAGGAATATGACACATTTTATCCATTTCTCAGTTCATGGATATA